TTTCCAAGTACACTCATTACGACATGATCTATCTTGGCCGTTCTGCCCCGAGGATTCATTCGACATTCTCGTTCGTGCGATATCGAAGAAAATATCTCGTTTTCGTTGTATCTCCATTTCACGGAACTGCGCACGGCCATGATCTTACACGCAAGATATTCGTTATCTGTTAAGCTTTGAGGTGAATCTCGCTATTGTATAATGATCGTCAGGTTCAACTGGTCTCAATAGTAACTACCATGTTTTTTCGTTGAAAACTGTGCTACCGGTCATGATATATCACGCAAGAATCTCGCTCGTATTACGCAACGTAGCATCGGGCTGGAATTTATCGTCTCATATGTGATCTCTATGAACTTCCGTTTCGTCGCGTATTTTGTGATATCTTAGAGGGTGAGGTTTTAGGAGTGCATATATCGAAAACGAGATAGTTTTGATACAATGGTACTTTTCCTGACGAGACGTCAAGAAGAGACTTAATCCCGCATGAACGATGATGGGTCTCCCCAAAACGCGTATATATAAATACATGTATATCAGTGAGCTATGACACGTACGCTCGTTTAGACATGTGATGCATATCTCTTGCCCCCCCCTCCCCCCAACTAGTCGCACAACTTTGCTAGAAAGAGCCGTGCAAATTGAAACGATTACAGGCACGCCCCGATGGGGCGATTGTAACATGCTATCCGGGCGTGAGCTCCGCCAATAGGCTCGAAATTAAAATCCGATAGTAGGTCATAATGGTGCTGAAGAAACGCGCAGGCTAGTAAGAATTAAAGAAGGAGAAGACGATGCGTTTTTTTAAAGGAAAGCAGCACCTCGCGTGTAAAGAGCGTTAATCGTTGTCTCGAATGTGTGCTCGTGCTCCTGCTCCTGCCTGATATAAGCCTGAAAAAGCCACAGCCGCACTCTGCCCGTACCTGGCGCCGGAAGTGGATCCTTGCCGTCAATTTTACGGTACAGCGGTACAGAACGGCCGAGCGTGAGGCAAAACTCGAGAACCGTAATCGCGAAATGACGACGTGCCGTAAAATAATTTCGTGATGAAAAAAAAATGAATATATTACATTTTTGCGAGTTACTTATTTCGAGGGGTGGATTCCACGGGGAGTTATAATCGCTAGAGAATATTAAAAAAAAAAAACGTTTCTCGTGCGGGAAACGAACGCGATCGTCGAGACGCTTCCGCTTCGATCGTCCGCGCTGTCACGCGCTCAATACGCTTTGTCGCACGTGACGTCCCGAAGATAATCAGAATCGAGGGCGGTTACTCTCGTCTCTCGTCTGTAATATTTATAGTAATAATCGCTCGCGGTCGTATTGCGGGATTTTGTCGTCGTTTTCGCTGTTTTTTCTACCTCTTCTCTAGAAAATCGGAGACGTCGCGCCTTAGCGAGCTTCGCGAGAGCTGAATTTAGCGTCGGCGAGCAGCGCGGGAGATCGCAAGCCTAATCATATCGGGTACCGGGAAGGAGAAGTGTAGATGAGAGATACGAGGCAAAAAAAAGCATCTCCGGAATGCCGAATGGCGGCATCGTCAGCGTGTTACGGTCTGAAACATAATAAAAGTAATGAAAGAATATTATAATAAATGAAATAAGATATATATCTCTTTCTTCTCACTACGATATAAAATATACAGTGAATAATAATTCTATCTCTCTTTGCTACCAAGTTGTACTTATTCTTAATTAATTTACTTGTACAAAAAAATGTGTTAAATAATAATGAAATATATAATATAATATACACACAATTATAAATAATACATATTATAAATATGAATATATATAAATATACAAATATATATGTGTATATGTATATATATGTGTATAT